AGGAAGGCTGTCCTTTGCCAATTAGCTTTCGAATGTAGCTGTGGCCATTTGCACTCATGCAGAGCTCCGCGCTGCACATCCTAATCTAGATGTGATGCTTCTGACCCTTTTCATTTCATCCAGTCAAGTGGGATGGTCTCATCTTATAGCTCATTTGCATTTCTCTGCTCAGAGCTGAAATCTGTTCAACCTTTGGGCATCTTCTTTTGCCAACTGTCCAAGTCTTTTTGCCTACTTCCCTGTTGGATTTGTCTAACTTTCCCACACTGACTTGTAGGAGTTTTCTTTTCAAATTCCAGATTCGTTTATCAGATAGGTATTTATTTGTGCATATAAGAGCTGGGTGTACACCAGAGGTGAGAGGATTCACCAGAGACAGAGGGGAGAACAGAACAGGCGGACCCACTGAAACACTGCTCAGGGGAGCAGCGGGGAGTCACTCCCTGGCCGGGGATCAACCTCTTGCTGCAGTGGCTGTGGATAGCTTGATAGTGCTGCGCTTTAACCTGTTGCGCCACCAGGGAGGGCCCCCCAAAGCCATCTTTTTAAAAATTAGATCATTTATGTGTGCTTTTCACCTACTCTTGTCCTCCAGGGTTGTGTCTTACCAGACTCAATACAATAAAGTGGAAAGATATAAGCAGCTGCCCCCAAAATACAGATAAAGCAGAAAATCAAGTGCAGAGAGCGGGTGGAGCGAGGACACACTGCGTGCAGGCGTGTTTGCAGTTCCGCTGCACAGTCCTGCTGCACAGTCATTCCTCCAAAGAGAAACTATTCCGCTAATGTCAATTTTACCTCCCACTGCCCCATAATCACATTGTCCAACTGCTAAATCACAGTGAGATGTCTTGGAATAGCACTGAATTATGCCTTACCAACAGTCCATCCAGCTCAGCTGGAGACAATACAAATAGTTGTGCTTCACTTCTCAAATCTGCAAACAACAAAGTTCCCATCAGGATGTTGTCACAAATGGCAAGATCTTAGCATCAGGGGTGTTAAAAGTGCAGGGGAAATTATGTGTCCAAATTAAATATAGTAGTACCTACTAGTATTGATTAGAACTCTTTGGTGTAAGAAACTCAGCACTGATTGACTTAAGCAAAAGAAAAACATTAACCACAGGAATCCCAAAGCAGCTTCAGGTATGGCTGGATTCAGGACTCCAGGACATAATCAGAACTCAATTTCTCATCATTTCTCCCTTGTAGGATTGGAGCAAGGTGGAAACACTGACATCTTCTCCAGTTTCAAGTCAGCCAAAGCAATGAGCACTTTTGTCTCAGAATTTTTAACCTGAGCCTCTGGCTCTGACAGTCACATGCTCAGCCCTGGATATGGGGACATGTGGGTCCACCACACCCTGGGGGCCGAGTTTCTTTCCAGGAAGCCCAGGGGCAGCTGGGTTACCAGAGGGAGAACAGATATAGACCGTAATCATAGCAGATGAGCTGTATAATTTGGCCGCAGGGAACCTGCTGTGGGATTAGCCAGCACCAGCCTCTGTCTCCTTGGGATAGATTTGGTCCCTGCTCTTCCGACAGCTTCTGCTGAGACCCTGCAGCCCCTCTGAGTCAGCCTCGCTTAGTTTTCCTCTGGGGCTGACTGAGATGGCCCTGACTCAGCTCCTACGTGAGCTGCATGCTGCCTGGAAAGTTAATAAGGCTTTGAAGCGAGACATTCCTCCTGTGACGTGGCGGTGCTGTGAGTGGGCGGCAATGAATGAAAAACAGTGAGAACATGGGCGCCAGCAGCGCTGATGAAGTTAAGATGTGAAGGAGTGAGGGGAATGGAGAGCAGCGACTGGAGATGCCGCCCACTGGGACAGCGGGTGCTTTCAGCAACTGGTCCCTGGCTGCTGGGTCCTGGGGAGGTGCCCCTCGCTGCCCCCACGGCCCCCCAGCTCTGCCTTTGCAGGGGTCTCTGGCCCCTCTTGCTCTCCCGGGAGCTTGTTTTCAAACCGAAATTGCAAGAAGCCTGGTTCCGTTTGGCCAGATTAAGGCCTGGAGACTGGAACTCCAGGGGAAGGGGCCACCAGCTGGCAAAGGGCTGCCTTCCAGGATGAGACTGGCCCAAAGTCATTTTCTCAGCATCAGCATTTTGGAAAGTGGAGTCTCACCGCAGGGGTCCCCTGGGGTGAGGAAAGAGGGCAGAATTTGGAGTCCCAGGCTGGGGGCCAGGCTCCTCTGTGCCAGCTGGATGGTTCTGGGAAAGTCACCCAATGCCCTGAGCCTCTGTCTCCACATCTGTCACTGAGGTCACCTCTGTCCTACGGTCCCAGCCAAGATAAGCACATGTACAAAGGCCGCACAAATGCCAGTTACTGTGACTTTGCCACCTACAAAAAAAGAAAAGCCAACACAGACCCCCCTCCCCGCAGTGAGGAGAACCCCAAGCTCCTTTTGCTCCAGTTACCATTTGGCACCAATTCGGCTGGGCCTTCTTACTTGATGACACAGCAAGTCAGCTGCGGAGGTGAGTGTAAACCCATCCAAGGTAGTGATTCCAACAGCTTCAGCAGGATCAGCTAAAACCCACAGGCACACTGCAGTTCAGATGTCAGCAGTGCTCCAGGAAGTCCCTTTCAGCAAAACCTGGTCAAGGCAGCCCCATAATGCTCCAAATCTGCTTCCCGCCCCAATGCTGTTGAAGCCCCACAGGTCCCAGCATCAGATTCCCCTTGTGCTGATAGCCTCTTGCCTCAAAGGTAAATCGCACACCCTTGTGGCACACGGAGGCTGGATCAGCAGGAGCCCACGCTGTCTATGCTCTGGGGTGACCGGAGTTAGGCCCCAGAAGCAACCCTCAGCCCCCAGGGACAGGCACCATCTGGCAGCGCTGTTCCTGCCCCCTCACTCCTCAGGCGCAGGTGGGTGACTCTGGGAAACTGCCTGTGGCCTTTCCAAGGACCCCGGTGAGCTCCAGTGCCGTTGCCACAGCAGCAGACACTGGCGCAGACGACTTCTCCTTTCTGTCTCCTTGTCCCCACTCCCATGGCCCTGCTCCCTGGGCCCTTTCGGAAAAACCTTTGTGCACAGAAACCCTTGTCTCAGGCTCTGCTTTCAGGGGAACCCAAGCTGCAGCCCCTTCTCAGCTTGCTTGCCTCGCTACCCAGCAGTGGACACATCAGATCCCGCCCATCCTCAGCCCAAGCCTCTCCAGTGACTCATTTCCCATGAAGGAAAAGCCAAAGTCCTTGCCTTGGCTGCTGCAGCGGGGGGCCTGGGGGGTGCAGGGAGGGGGGCAGCTGATGGAAACTGCCCTGTGCTTTTCACTGAGCTCGGCCTGCTATTCTCCCCTTTGCTCCACTAGAGACACCAGCTCACTCCGGCCTCCAAGGTCTGCACTGGCTGTCCCCACTCCTGGAAAGCTCTCCCTCCAGGTATATCCCAGCCTGTTCCTTCACTTCCTTGGAGACAAAACACTTCTTAGAGAGCCCTCCCATGCCAACTGGCAGCCTCCGGTCCTGGGTCCCTGTTAGCGCTGGGCCAGCACTTGTGTGCTCCTAGACTTACCACCAAAATCATGCATTGTCTCTTTTTGCTCTCTTTTTTTGGGGGGGGGTCAATTTTCTGTCTCCCCTATGTGGCTGTAATCTTCTTTTGAGGATAGAAACTCAAAAACTTCTTTTTTATTTTCACCAGTGGCAGGCGCCTGGCTAGCAGTAAGGATTCAACAGTTACTTGTTGACTGCAGGAAGTAAACAAGGAAGACTGAAGAGGAAGGGAGGGTTCAGAGGAAGGGAGGGTGCCGGGCCTGGAGCAGACCCCAGCCCCACGTGGAGCCCCAGGGCGGTGGCTGGGGGTGGGGTACTGGGATGCCGTGATGGCAGCCCCTGGGGTGAAGGGCGTGGATGTTGCCAGATGTCCCTCTGAGGATTCAGTCAGTTCTTTACCCTCTAAGGTTGTTGCTGGTGATTATTTGGGGGGGGGGGGGAGGCCTAGGTTCTGCTGTTTGCCTGAAGGAGTCCCAGGTAAAACCTCAAACACCTGAGCGCCTCAGTCAACAAACCCCTTAGTCTGCCGGCTCCTATGCCATGGAGTGCCCCCCGACCCCCCCGCAGCCCTTCCCCCACCCCCCAGTGTGGTCAGCGGCTCAGCAGCGGCACTGCCCCAGCTTCTGAAGGACCTGGCCGTCTAGCCTGGTGGTTGGGGACCACAGCACCGCAGAGGCCCTGGGAGGGCCTGAGGCGGCTGCTGGGCCAGCCTAGGGGGGCGCCCCCCCCATGAACTCCTCGACACCCTGAGCAAACCACCCCCCACCCCCAGCCACCGCCCTGGGGCTCCGCGTGGGGCTGGGGTCTGCTCCAGGCCAGGCACCCGCCGCTCTTGGCGGGGATCTGGCCCCTCGCAGGAGGCAGCCAGCAGCCCCGCGAGCCTGGGGGCCGGCAACCCCGTCTCCCCGCGCGGGGCCGAGCCCCGCCCGCCGGCTCCCCGGGGCCTGGGCTCCGCTGGCTTTCCCAAGTGGGCGCTGCGGCGCAGGACGGAAGAGGTTAACGTGCATCTGCCTCCGAATGTTAATGTGTGTAGGTGATGTCAGTAGGAGCTGGCGAGGAGCGAGCGGAGAGCGGCGCTGGAGGCGGCGGGGACGGCCGAAGACGACCCCCTTGCGGACCGCGGGCCCCGCCGGGGCTGCCGCAGCCTGCGGGGGCGACGCGCGGCCAGCGAGCAGGCTCCCCGCGGCCGCACCATGGACCTGGAAACCTCGCTGCTGCCCACTGGCCCCAATGCCAGCAACACCTCGGACGGCCCGGATAACCTCACCTTGGCCGGTGAGTGGTGTGGAGCGCAGCCCTCACGCTCCTGCGCGCTGGGGTGGGGACCGGGAGGTCTCACCTCTGAGTCAAACTGCTCGGGAAACTTTATTTCAGTGGTGGGGGGACGAGATCTGCTTTGCCCCAGGGGCTGGAGAAGGGCGTGGGGCAGAAGGGGCAGGGGCAGAGCAGAGGGCAGAGGCACACTGGCACCTTGGGCAGTGGGCAGGGGTGGGGGCCGCCGGGGCGGGCTGGCTGCCGAGTTCCGATAGGCTTTGCCGAAAATACGACCGGCTGGAAGGCGGCGGAGAAGCCGAGGCTGGGGGGCAGCCAGGCTCCCTCTCACCACGGCCTTCTCGCCTTCCCCTTCAGCAGCAGGAACCGGTTCAGAGGCAGCCTCCTGCCCCGGGGAAGGTGAGGGGCGGCGACAAACCAGAGGAGAGGGATTAAGTTTCCCGAGAATTCGCCTCCTGACATTCCCGGAGCTGAGAAGCCTTGGAATTCTAGCTTTGAAGGAGAAGGGAAGGAACGGGAGAAAGGGACGGTTTGCAGGAGAAAATCTCGGGAGGCTGGCTACCACCCGCAGCTCTGGCCCCTGCTCCCGGGAAGCCCAGACTCGGAGGCCAGCCACAGATCCCCTGATAGGAGGCAGGGCCCGGCACACCGCAGAACCCGGGGCGAAGCCTCTGTGGGGCCATCACCCTGGAGAGCCCAGGGGTCAGTGCTCAGCTTCCCACCAGCAATCTCTAAATTGAACCGATCAGGGCTGCAAATTGGAAAAGAGACAGCACAGCGCGCACACACTTTTGTGTCCTTTTGGCGATTTAGATGAGGCTTCCTGCTGAAGTCCTGGCTCGCTGAGTAATCCTCTGCAGATAGCTGTGACTTTGTACTCGGTGCCTTCTGAGAAAATGCAGCAGGCGGAGAACTGGGCCCCTCAACAAACAGGTGGTGCGGGAGAATCTGGTAGGATAAAGCTGGGAACCGGTGGAGGAAGCCAGGGGACAGGATTAGCAGCGACTTGGGGAGGAAGCTTCCAGATGAAGGGTGGGCTCAGAGCTGAAATAGGAGGGTCGATGGAAATTAGGCGGGCGTGGCTAGACCCGCCCCCCACTCACAGCTCTAGGCCCCTAGAAAGCAGGGTGCGGCTCAGGGGCCCCGCATCTGCTCCCTCTGTTCCCAGGGCTGCCGGCTCGAACAGGCAGCGTCTCCTACATCAACATCATCATGCCTTCGGTGTTCGGCACCATCTGCCTGCTGGGCATCGTGGGAAACTCCGCGGTCATCTTCGCGGTGGTGAAGAAGTCCAAGCTCCGCTGGTGCAGCAACGTCCCCGACATCTTCATCATCAACCTCTCGGTGGTGGACCTCCTCTTCCTCCTGGGCATGCCCTTCATGATCCACCAGCTCATGGGCAACGGGGTCTGGCACTTTGGAGAGACCATGTGCACGCTCATCACGGCCATGGACGCTAACAGCCAGTTCACCAGCACCTACATCCTGACCGCCATGGCCATCGACCGCTACCTGGCCACCGTCCACCCCATCTCCTCCACCAAGTTCCGGAAGCCCTCGGTGGCCACCCTGGTGATCTGCCTCCTGTGGGCCCTCTCCTTCGTCAGCATCACCCCTGTGTGGCTCTACGCCAGGCTGATCCCCTTCCCCGGGGGCACGGTGGGCTGCGGCATCCGCCTGCCCAACCCCGACACTGACCTCTACTGGTTCACCCTGTACCAGTTCTTCCTGGCTTTTGCGCTGCCCTTCGTGGTCATCACGGCCGCGTACGTGAGGATCCTGCAGCGCATGACGTCGTCGGTGGCCCCCGCCTCCCAACGCAGCATCCGGCTGCGGACCAAGAAGGTGACCCGCACAGCCATCGCCATCTGCCTGGTCTTCTTCGTGTGCTGGGCGCCCTACTACGTGCTGCAGCTGACCCAGCTGTCCATCAGCCGCCCGACGCTCACCTTCGTCTACCTGTACAACGCGGCCATCAGCCTGGGCTATGCCAACAGCTGCCTCAACCCCTTCGTGTACATAGTGCTCTGTGAGACCTTCCGCAAACGCCTGGTCCTGTCTGTGAAGCCCGCGGCCCAGGGGCAGCTTCACACCGTCAGCAATGCCCAGACGGCTGACGAGGAGAGGACAGAAAGCAAGGGCACCTGACAGCTCCCTGCCACCCTGGCAGCTCCAAGTCAGGACACCGCAGCCCCGGGGAGACGCCCGAGGCCCGCTGGGAGCCGGCAGGGAGGCTGGGTGGTGAGGGGTTACTGTGACCACAACCCGCCCCGGGGCCCACGAGTTGCTGGGGAGGCTGGAGCCAGGTTGGGGGCTGCAAACGTCAGAAACCCCCTGGCAGAGCCCCCTGGCAGAGCGGGATGAGCTCTTTGGGTGGAACAGAAACTGAGGAAGAAGCAACTTTTGGTTTGAAAATCGGTGGGGGAGGGCACCCTCCATCCGCTGGCGGCCCAGCACGAGATCAGGACCGATATGTGCACACTGCATAGGGCCCTGAGGAGATGGGGCTGGGGTGGCCTCGGTGCGCTTTCCGTGGCCAGTTGGCTTGAGGGGAGCAGCCTTCCCCCCATGCCATCGTGCTTTCCAACGTCTGTTCATCTCCCTTTAGCTCTAGGGGGTGCATGTTTATGGGGGGGCGGGGTGGGCGCTGAGCCCACGGGAGTAAAAGCCCAACTTGCTCAGCCATGCACTGAGAATGCCAAGGCTACCTGGGGCAGGGGTCTTGCAGTTAAGAAAAACGGGCAGGCGGGGGCTTCTGCAGCTGTGGACACACAGTCCCTTTGCCGAACATCTGTCAGCCGCCAGGTCCGGACTCAGTGCCCGTCTGCGTCCTGCAGGTGTGGGCTGTGCTGATGCCTGGGGTGCTGGACCATGTTTTGCTCTGGTCTTTCCTCTCCCAAATAAAAATGAATAAAGGAAAACCTGCACCCTCGTCATCTGGATGCTCTTGTCCAGCTGCCCTTCCGTGGGGTGGGGTGGTGGGTGCAGGAGTGTGGCAGGAAAGGGGAGGAGAGGTAGCTTGGCGTGGGCGTGGCCATGACACGGGCTGCGTGTTAAGGGGGGAAGAAGCGGGGCTCTGCTTGTCTAGACCCACAGGGAGGGTTTGGTGACGGGGACGCATTAGTGTGAATGCATTAGATTGCAGTTCTGCCGCTGGGCTGTTCTCCGGACTCACACGACTCAGCTTCCCCTCTTGACTGACTCGGTGCAGGCCCCTCCGGCCAGCTCCCCCCCTCCCCCACCGAACCCCCGCCGAGTCACCTTGCAGTGCTGGCATCTCAAGCTGCTGCAGGCTGAGCAGTTGGTTGGAGGCGTGCATGCTGACTGGCGGGCACTGGGCAACAGCCAAGCTCTGCTTGCCAGCTTCTCCCTGCTGGGGAGCGGTCGGGGGAGCCAGGGGTCCTGCAGCAGCTACCAGAAAGGCAACAACAGAGTGAGGGCAAATTGCACACTCCCCACTTCGCCCAGACGCACCCTTAAAGCAGAAGCCTCCTCACCACCTCCTCCTGGCTATTTTCACTGCAGTCATAGCAGGTCGTCTGGAGAACTTAGCTGCTTCTCTCCTGGGAGCTCTTTATCAGCATCATCAACAATAGGATTTCTGGCTGGCGCGGTCCACGCACCCAGACCTGGCAGAGAGCAAAGGGTTCATTTTCCTTACTTGCTGCTAACAGTAGGATCGTAGCTGCTTCAAATCAGCCCAAGTCTGTTTTAGACGCTGGAGGGTGCGTGCGCAAGTATGCACACTCACACTCTTAGGGAGCCGGAGACAGCTCCTGCCTACTGTTCCAGAACAGGTTTACCTGCCTCTGGCTTGCCGGTGAAAGGCTTCCCTGGAGTCAGTCTTCACCACCCCCACCTTCTGCAAGAAGGAGGTGTGAGGGCCCCTCCCAGCAGACCCCTGAAGGTTCAGTGGACTCCTAGGAGTGGGGACCTTCAGCTCCCAGCCCTAGACAGAAACTAGCCCTAAACTGAAGCCGAAGCAAGGGGGTGGAGACCAGAGAGGGAGTGGGTGGGAATGTCAACACCCCAGGTGGAGGCCAGGAGTTGGGGAAGGGGAGCAGGGAGGTTTTAAAAGGTGGGGAGATTTTAGGAAGGACTGTGGCTCACACTTCTTCCCCAGCCAGATCCCAGTGGCCTGAACAAGCTTGAGGAGCCCAGGATGAGAATAAGCACTTGGGGGCGGTCGCCTTGAGTGCTGGGAGGTGGAAGGTCTGAACAGCGAGGGGAACTTCCCTCCTCCTTCAGCCTGGGCTCTGTGGGTGCCTGGGAGCAGCCCGGGTAGGGGCCGCCCACCAGTGCCGGAACAGCCTGACAGCCAAAGAAGGGAGGGGCCAGGTCCTCAGGCCCACCCAGGGGAGGGTGCAGCTGGCAGGGAGGGGAAGCTGGAAAAACTGCAAGGAAGGAAGCAAAACCAAGAGAAGACTTGGAGGAGGCCAAGGAGCAGAGACACGTGAAGAAGCCGAGCTTGCTTCTCGGCCCTGGACTCCACCAGGGACTTGGGGGACACAGAGGAGACACTTGGAAGAAGCTGGATGAGAGCCCCGTGGAGGCTGACCTGGCGCCTTCCCTGGGCTCCTACGTTGGTTTTGCCCTTTCACAGAAGGGGCTTAAACGGCGGGGGCAGGCTTTCCTGCTCCCTGGCCCGCTTTAGGCCAGCCCGCCTGTTGGCCCCTTGCCCATGAGGGATGGGGAACTTTCGTGGGGAACTATTTTAACTACATTCTTTCTCTTCTCTCTCTCTACTGCATTCTAATTGCAGTAATTAAAGTTCTTGTCTTATGAAAAGGTCTTATGCACTAAGCGTATGTTTGATTTTATGCAACAGATGGCAGAACCTATTTCCAGCAGGCACGTTTGGGGTTCCTGGGGTGCCCCTCATTCTGCCTGCCCACAGGATAACTGATGCCCTTGCTCCTGGTCCCTCCTCCTCACCTCCTAAGTGTTCACACTCCCTCAACCATGGCTCAGTAGAGTGCCCCAGGAGATGCCTCCCACCCTCGGGGAGCACACCTCCAATGGCCTCACATAGAGGGGCCCCACAGTTTCTGACTCAGCACCTCACAAATGAAGCAAAGTCCTTCTCCCCAAAAATGAGCAGTGATATTTCTGTTGCGTTTATTCCCCAACGTCACCAGCTTTCATTTTATTTTTTAACGTTATTGTGGTAAATACATAATAAACATTGAACTATATACTTAACAATAGTTAAAATGGCAGATTTTACATTTGTGTATTTTACCCCAATAAATATACATGTAACATAAAATGGGCCATTTTAACTACTTTCCAGTGCTCGGTTCAGTGACAGCAGCACGCCCGCCTTGATGTGCACCCCGCCCGCACCCCTCCAGAAGTGTTCATCAGCCCCAAGTGAACCCCTGTGCCCAGGAGACACTGATTTTCCACCTCCTGTCTCCGCCTTCTCTGGCAACCTTCTCTCTGTGACCTGACTGGGGCCCGCAGAGGACCTCAGTCACCTTCGTGTCTCCAAGGTTCGGGGCCAACACTTCCTTCCTTTCTGAAGCTGCGTGATATTCCACTGCGTGTTTACCCTCCCTTTCCTGTTTCACGTGCCTGCTGGGGCCCATCTCGGCCCGCTCTTCCCCTTTGGCTTGAGTATCGCCACTAGGACCAAGGTGGACAGACGCCTGTTGGAGGGTCTGCTCAGAATCCTTTGCTTCCTTTACCCAGCTCAGTGGCACTGCTTGTTACATGGACATTTTGTGTTTGACTTTTCGAGGCGCGACCATGCTGTGTTCCCTGCAGCTCACCTCGGAAATTCCCAGCACAGGCATAGCATTTCCCCTCTCTCCACATTCTTGCCAGCACTTCTCCTCTTCCTTCCTTCTCTCCCTCCCTCCTCCTCCCTCCTCCCCTTCCATAATCATCCTGATAAATGTGAAGTGGCTTTGAGCCACATCTCCCTAATAACTGGTGATGTTGAGCATTTTTTTCATGTGTTAATTGATCTTTTTTGTTTATCTTCTTTGGAGAAATGTCTCTTCAAGCCCTTTGCCCATTTTAAAACAGCATAGTTTTTTATTGTCAGCAACCATATTTCCACTCAACTCAAAGTGGCAATAATAGGTTCTTATGACTAAGAAAAAAATTATTTTTAACTAGACTCTTCCTCCATGCCTTTCAATGAGATCCCTGCCTTTTCTTGCTTCTTTGTTTTATGGAGCATCTGGTGGGAGAACCACACACACACACACAATCCCGTGCCACCTCCCTCAACCTACTGTTGTGTCTATGGTCTGCTAAGTCCATCTCCGCTCTGAGAACCGTCACTGCCCCTCCACCCCACGCGTGGGGAAGCACTGGATGGGCAGGCTTCACTATGGGTCCTGTCCCTTCCCGCCTGCTCCTGGGCTTTTCAATGAGCCCGAGAGGAGGCTGCAGAGAATGTCTTGCCACGTTTCTGGTGGAGAATCAGCGGTAGCCAACATTGACTGAGCATGGGCCAAGGACGGCTTCAAATGCAGTATCCAGTTTTTGTCAAAACTCATTAAACCCTCACAAGATCTCTACAAGTTGGCAATATTATCATCCCGTTCCCATTCATTGTACAGACGAGCAGGCCAAGGTTGACCTCCTTTTTTTGCCTGTGGAGAACCTCGACTTCTCACTCCCAGAGTTCTCAGTTCCTCGCTCATCAGTGGACCTTGGCTTGCTTCTCCTCTATAGCGTCCACATGTTTCCTACCTCCACACCTTTCCTCAGGCTGTTCTCCTGTGTGGGAACACAATCTCCCCTCCCCTTTACTTTTTGCCACTTAATCTATAAGATCAAACCAGATACTACCTCTTCCAGGAAGCCCTCCTTGAAGACCCTCCTTCCCTGGAAAGCTGAATGCTGCCCTCCAGGATTGTTCTCACCGCATTGCATTCCAGTCTCTGCTGATTTCTCCGTGCCCCCCTCTATGCTGTGTGAGGGAGTGGCCTCCAGGCTCAGCTCTTGGCATGATGCAGTGGGCACAAAGCGGAGGTAGAGAAGCAGGACCTCCACAATTAACGCCGCCAGTGGATAAACAATGCCACTGTGCTTATCTCTCTGGCCTGTGAGGGAGCGAGGGTCCCTAGAGCTCCATTCAACAGATGGCTGCCCTGACTGCCCACAGTGAGTGGCTACGAGTCAAGGATGGCAGAACAAGACAGACAGTACTGGCACTGGTGATGGACGTGAAGACTCTGGAATATTTGCTCACTGCTCCATGTCATGTGCTGTGGAAACCAGTTTGGCAGTTCTTCAAAAACGGTGAACATAGAGTTGCCACATGACTGAGGCATCTGCCCAAAAGAACGGAACACACGGGTCAACATCAAACACATGCACGAGTACTCAGCAGTGTCCTTCCGAAGGGTCAAAAAGCAGAAAGAACCCGAATGGCCATCACCTGATTAGGTGGTGGAGCCACATGGTGGAATATTACTCTGCCAGTAAAAGGAACAAAGTCCCATCACATGCACATGGTCGATCAGCCTTGGAAACACTTGAGACACAAAATCTCACATGTTATATGATTCCAATTTTTAGGAAATTTCCAGACTAGGCACATCCATGGAGACAGTGGACCTGTGGTGGTTAGGGGCTGAGGTGGAGTGAGTCCTGTGAGGGGAGGGTCTCCTTTGGGGATGATAAACACTGAAATTAGATAGCAGTGTTAATAGCACACACTTGCGGGTACATTAAAAACCGCATTGTACATTTCAAAAGGATGAATTTTACCTCAAATTTAAGAAAAGAAGCAGTGTGTGGAGCTGAGGAGGGCAGAGAATGAGGGGACCCCATGAAGCATACTGGCTAATAGGCATCAAGTGTGGCCAAAGGATAGTCCTCCGCTGAACGTTTGCCATCAAGTCTGTTTGATCCAGCTCTGTGAGCAGGACCTATTAGTGCTTCCATTTCAGAGAT